AAATGTTTTGACCCCTAACCCCCCCTTAAACTCTCATAACTAAACCCTAATAGAACATAATTAACCCAAACATAAATAATATAAATCAAAAATAATTTTGAAAAAGTAGTATTTTTGTAAAGATTTCAAAAGTGTGGCATTTTTTGTAAAGTGGCACTTTGAAAAGTAGCATTTTTTGAAATTTCTCAAAAAGAAAATAGATAGGCCTTACATCGACATAGTGAACAAAGCCCAGTAAAAGAACGTTTAACGAGAAGAAGAGTCTCGAAACCACAATGCAAGACCATCCGTAAACCTTGGAATGTGTCGTCTCGCTGAACAAGTGTTGCGGATTCCACAGTCAATCATCTTGAGCAACCCAGTTACCGGTGTTTTAATTCCTTTGAAGATCCGCGCATTTCTCTCTTGCCAAATACTAAGAAATTCTTTCTATATCAGGTTCAGTTCTTGTGATGACTGATACAATCAGTGAGTCGAATTTGAACCGGTTAGGGTATAAGTCGTCCGCGGATCTTTTGTTACCAACTTCGGTTAAGGGACTCAAGACTCTCTTCACCATTGCTGTTCATAGACCCATGTGGTTCCCGAACCGGCTATTCAAGGATTATCTTGAGGTATATTTCAAAAAACAAAATTGTGACAAATATTTTATGTTTTATGGGTTCCAATATTAATTTATTCTAATTAAAGTATTTAAAAAGGATATTAGAAGGAATACAACGAAGTAGATTAGTCGATCATTTCACTTTGTTGCTCATTTATCGTTGATAATATATATATAAATTTGTAAAATGTGAAGGTGATGGTTACTAATAGGAAGGAAAGAGCAGAATTGTTAGAAGCTTTGGTCATCAGCAACAAAGATGTGACCATCCCTCGTTTTCAACAGGTCTAATAAGTATATCAGATATTAAAAGTCTCATTCACAAAATAAAATAAAAAAGATGCTATTGTTCGTTTAGAGTAAAATACACAAAATGTTTTTTGCTTTTAACTTATAGATTTCCGTACTTGAAGAAGAATTTTTAGTTATTATGTTAACATTTCATCTTAGGTGTTTTGTCACTTTTATTGTTTGGAGAAAAAATGTTTAAAGATATCAAATCCAAACAAATGGAAAGAATCAAATTACTAAAAATATTTTTTTTCTCAACTTGTAAGAAATGATATTTATCTAAAAATAAGGTTCCAAAAAATGGAATATTTTCTTTTAATTATGAATAATTCAACTCATTTAAATATAAACTAGGTGATTCTTCCGCGTACACGCGGGTAAATTATTTATATAGTTTTGTTTTTAATTTTAGTCTTTCAAAATGTGAAATATGTAGTTGTTTTTGATTTTTATTATAGACATTGCTATTTTTTTTTTGTTGTTAATTTTTTGTTCAATAATATCGTTTTTATTAATAATATAAATTTCAATAATTTAGTTTTACCATTTAAATATTTTATATWTKTWWAYKWKTHWWWTCAAAAAGAATTTGTATCCTATAAAAGAATTTATAAAAATGTTCT